CCTGCGTCAATGGCTGCTGGACATCCGGCCGCATGGCTGTCGCTTGCTCGGCCTGCTGTCGGGCCCGGACGCGAGCGCGTGGGAGGCCATCGTGGATGATGTGGCACAACCCCAGTGCTTGGCACTGGTGCATGGTGGCTCTACTTCACACAGTGCTGACACTTTATCGCAAGTCACACCACCCTCAACCGATGCCCAGCCTACGACGACGACTGTTGGCACAACCCGCGCCGACGCCGGGGCAGAAGAGCTGGAGTTGTGCATCTTGGCACGTACACCCGGCGCGCTGGAGCTGGTTCTCACTACGCTGGTGGAGCGTTATCTGTCAAATCAAGGGGTGCAGCACGTGACATTTTCGGCACTGCCCGTGGAGCTGCGGGCTGCCTTGAAAGAACGAATGAAACGGGCGGGGTTTGTCGCGAGCTTTGACGATCCGTGTACGCTGTGGATCAAGGCTCGTTCCACCGAGCGAATGCCCTCCATGCCCGTGACCGACCCGCCTTTGCCTCCGGGTTACACCATGGGCCAGGCCCAACCCGCGGACGTCGAAATGATCAACAGCAAATGGCGGTTCGCCAGTGAGCACAGCCCGCGGGCACTTCAACACATGGTCGAACAGCTCCCATCGGCCGCTGTCCGACACTCGGGCCAGTTGGTGGCCTGGTGCTTGACCTATCCCGACCTTTCACACGGTGTCATGCATGTGGTAGATGCGCATCGACGCCAGGGCTTGGGTTTAGCCGTGGCACGTCGCCTCGCGTGTGAAGCAGAGCCCGTGGCCTTGGACGTGCCTGCACACGTGTACATTGAACCCGGAACACCCGCCAGCGAACGCATCTACGCGCGCCTGGGCTTTATGCCGACCGTGCCCATGACCTGGCTCGGCTTTTCCCGTCAGCATGCGTGAAGCAAGTGGCTCAGCATGTATAAAGTGGGTTGCCTCTGTGGGGTGGCCGACGGTTCTTTTCTACTTGTGAATATGATGTGCGGGCTTTGCCCTGTGTTCTGAGAACACACAGACTCAAATGGAATGAATTACCTGAGCCCTAAACCGCGTTTTCATCGACGGGTGCGGCCTGTTCTTGATCACGTCAGAGAATAGTCTGGGGAACTCGATGCGCGGAACGGTCATGGAAACAGACGAGACAGGAGAGTAAAAGAGGAGAGAGAGTAAAAGAGAGCTTGAGGGCTCGAGGGCTAGAGAGAGCTTGAGAGAGAGCTTGAGGGGTTTGTGAGAGAGCTTGAGAGCTTGAGAGCTTGGGAGAGCGAGAGAGAGAGAGAGAGGGAGAGAGAGATTTAGAGAGAGAGATTTAGAGAGAGAGAGAGACTGGGGTCGGGAACAAAAGAATGAGATCCAGCACGACGTGTTTGGAAAAGTTGTGCTGCTGCAGTTTATGCAGTTTACGTGTTAATGCAGTTTCAACTTGTGTGCACGGGGGCAAAAGGAGCTCCTCGCACATCGGATTGGGGGGAGGGTGACTGCGGCTGGTTAACGTGAGCTGTGCGCTTGGTTCGGCGCGGGTGGGGGGTGAGGCACAGGTGCTTTATGCGCAAAGGTGCCTGTCACCTTGCCCGCAACCGGTGGGAACGATTACAAGGTCCCTTGGGGGGCGAGGAAAGAGTTGGCGAGCGGTCTGGCAGGGTGGAGGCGGCGGGGGGTGTTGGTAGAATACCGGGCAGGATCGCCTACTCGCCCCATGTGGGGGCGCTGTGTCGGCTCGCGGTCAACTGGACATCATGAAATTTAACGAGAAGGAGCTTAGCCTCTACTGCGCGGCCATCTGCCGGGATCAGTGCTTCGACCACACCGGCTACCTCCTCAAACGCGGTGAAAAGGCTCGCGATGGTGAGGTCCTTGCACCCTGCAGCACGTTGTGTGTCGGAGGGCCGGGTGCAAGAGAATATGGGCAAAGAGTTTTGCTTCAATCTTATCGCCGGGTTACCCCAATCAAATCCGCTTGTTTGATCATTGCTGCAGGGTATCGGCGGCGATACTTTGTGCTCAAGGGCAATCTGCTCTTTTACTTTCGCGATGGCCGGCTGGTGGGTGCTTCCGTTTGCCAAATCACAGCTTGACAACAAGCTTGATGTGACAGCACTGCTACCACCCGTTTGGGCTTGGTGCCTTTCAACCTCACTATGCGCCGTTCTCATTCACTTTTCCATTTGGGCGGACCGTGTGTAGCAAGGGGAGCCTCTTGGCTGCATTGTTCTCGAGCGCGTGTCCATCATGGAGTTTGAAGACCCGGGCTTTGACATCAAATATGGCTTTCAGCTCGGTACGCCCCGCGCTTTGAAGGCTCTCTCATTTCCCATTGATCTCTCGCCCTCATTAATCCTCCCCATGATTTCGTTGCGGGTGTTTCTGTCGTGACCCCCTTGGCTTTTCTCACGTCCTCATTGACATGGGTCGCGCCTGTGGCTGTGCCGATGTGCGCCAGACTTTGCCGGGTCGGGCAACCGCGTTTATCATTTGTCAGCGGAGACCAGGGATGAGCGGGATCAGTGGATGGGGCTGCTCAAACGCGCCAGCTTTGAAATGCTCTTAGAGCGCCTGAAACAAGTTCAGGAGCAAATTCGCAAACTCAACGGCATTGTAGGTCGCTGCACCTCGTCCCACCTCGTCTCTGCAAGCGTGGCGCTCGCTGGCTTGCCACCATTCATGTTGCGGTGATCTTTGGGACCGGTTTACAGATGACCAATGCCGAATCAGCTCCCTGGTCCAATCCCATGGTCGAGGCAGAACAATCGGTATGCCAAAACGATCCCCCCGCCCGCCCCTC